TCTCGGTCTCCCAGAGTGCTAGGATTACAGGTGTAAACCACTGCACCCAGCCTTATAACTCTCATTTCATTGTGTATATTCCCTTCTAGGCTGTGTCATTAGACAGTTTTTCCTCTGTTGTGTGGAGGCACAAATTCATTTTGGAAATAAAAAATGTTAGGGCCATTTTGGGATGTTGAACATTTAGTGAAATGGGTGAAAGGCATTGTGTGGGAAAGGCCTACCCCTAAGGTTTGTGGGGATTAGGTAAAAACACAAGTGGAGGCCCTCATCCCATAAGTCTAAATATTTCCAAGTTAGAAATCAAACTAACAGACTTCTAAATATTTTCCATCCTCCTATGTTGAAAAATATAGCAGAGTTTGAACTAAGGATTCTGACTTTGCCTCAGAGCTCCACACTGGCCATGGCAGCTACACCAGCCCTCTAGCCTGGCCCTTATTCTTACCATGCCTCCATCCTGCTCCAAGGAGCCTTTGGTGTGGACACCCCAGTCCTCTACATTCAGGTTCTGTCTATACTCCCCATTCCTAAGCAACTACCACTAGGCTATTCTGGGATTTGCATTGTATACACAAGGACCAGGGGGCACCTTCCTGACAGAAGACCAACTGAAGAGGCCTGTGTAGCTCAGGAGCATTGGCAAGGAAATTCCAGGGTCTCAGACCCTGGAGGATGCTCTGGGAAGAGGGTGAGGATTTGGGGTCAGAAAGTCCCCCAGGTCTGGCAGGTTTCTTGCTCTAGGGTAGGGGTATGTTGTAGGAACCCAGATGGGGCATCCAAAGCATGGGCCCAGGGCAAGGGCCTAGCACACCAAGCCTAAGGGTAGTGCTGGTATGGATTTATTCACAAAAGATAAGAGGATTTCCAGAGCTGAGAATCCTTTATCCCAATGTATCCCAGGACCTGGATATCATTAGTTTTCTCTTTCAGGCTGTATAGGCTCAGATACCACAAATTAACATGCATGATTTCAAAAATAAAGTCATAAATCTCACAAAAAAATTTTACATTAAAGTAATATATCACACATGGAACACAGCACCTTTTAATATATAAGATAGGATGTTGAAGGATGTAGACCCAGGAGGCTGTAGTGTAAATGGGCCCTGTGTCTCAAGAGAAGGAAACATTCTCAGGCTTCTCCAAGCCTAAAATCATACAAGTGTACCCTGTTTCCTGAGAATTCAGTATTTAAGCTTATGAAAAAAAATTTTTTTGAGATAGTCTCATTTTGTCACCTTGGGTAGAGTGCTGTGGCATTGTTGTAACTCATAGCAACCTCAAACTCTTGGGCTCCAGCAATCCTCCTACCTCAGCCTCCCAAGTAGCTAGAAGTACAAGTGCCCACCACAACACCTGGATAGTTTTTCTATTTTTAGTAGAGACAGGGTTTCACTCTTGCTCAGGCTGGGCTGGAACTCCTCAGCCTCCCAGAATTAGGGTTACAAGCGTGAGCCACCAACCCTGGCCAACCCAGCCCCTTTTAATAGATTTTTAATTTTCCCTTCAAGATCCAATCAAGGTTCATCTGTTGGTGGTTCTTCAGAAAAGTAAATAGAATTGTCATATGATCTAGTAGTTTCCCTTCTAGGTATAGTCCTGAAAGTATTGAAAGCAGAGACTCAGGCTCCAGGCCTGGAGCTCAAGAGACTAGGGCACCAGCCACATACACCAGAGGTAGTGGGTTTGAGCCCAGACTGGACCTACCAAACAGCAATGACAACTAGGCGGGCATTGTGGCGGGTGCCTATAGTCCCAGCTACCTGGGAGGCTGAGGCAAGAGAATCGTTTAAGCCCAAGAGTTTGAGGTTGCTGTG